TTCAGTGGGATTGATTTAAGTTTCTCTCCATTTAGTTTGATGTTGGCTATAGGCTTGTTGCATATTGCTTTTACTATTGTTTAGATATGTGCCTTGTATTCCTGATCTCTCCAAGACTTTAAATATGAATGGATGTTGGATTTTGTCAAATGCTTTTTTGGCATCTAAGGAGATGATCATGTGATTTTTATCCTTCAGTTTGTTTATATGGTGGATTACGTTGATGGATTTCCGTATATACCACCCCTGCATATGTGGGATGAAGCCTACTTGGTCATAGTGGATAATATCATTGATATGTTCTTGGATTTGGTTTGCAAGTATTTTGTTCAGTATTTTTGCATCAATGTTCATAAGGCAGATTGGCCTGAAATTCTCTTTCTTTGTTGGGTCTCTGTGAGGATTAGGTGTCAAGGTGACTGTGGCTTCATAGAATGAGTTTGGGAATAATTTAAAGGGTATTGGTGTTAGCTTTTCTTTGAAGGTATGGTAGAATTCTGTTCTGAAAACATCTGGCCCTAGGTTTTTTTTTTTTTTTTTTTTTTTTGATAGGAGACTTTTGATGACAGCATTTTTTTAATTTTAATTTTTATTTTTAGGTTATTATAGGATTCTTTAATTTATTTACCTGATCTTTATTTAGGTTTGGTAAGTGAAATCCATCAAGAAAATTGTCCATTTCATTTAGATTTTCAAATTTTGAAGCAATAAAAGCTTTTGAAGTGAGACCTAATGACTGTTTAGATTTCCTCAGTGTGTGTGTTTTTTTTAAATTTTTTATTAATTACACTTTATTCATTTTGTATCCCCACATAAGCCCCTCCCTCCTCCCCTCCCGATCCCACCCTCCCTCCCCTTTCTGCATGCATGTCACTCCCCAAGTCCACTGATAGGGGAGGTTCTCCTCTTCTTTCTGATCTTAGTCTATCAGTTCTCATCAAAAGTGGCTGCATTGCCCTCTACTGTGGCCTGGTAAGGCTGCTCCCCCCTCAGGGGGAAGTGATCAACGAGCAGGCCAATCAGATTATGTCAGAGGCAGTCCCTCTTCCCATTACTATGTAAACCACTTGGACACTGAACTGCCATGGGCTACACCTGTGCAGGGGTTCCAGGTCATCTCCCCGAATAGTCCTTGGTTGGAGTATGATTTTCTGGGAAGTTCCCTGTGTTCAAATTATCTTGTTCTGTTGCTCTCCTTGTGGAGTTCCTGTCCCCTCCAGCTCTTACTATTTCCCACTTCTTACATAAAATTCCATTCACTCTGCCCATCAGTTGGCCATCAGGCTCAGCATCTGCTTTGACAGTCTATACTGCAGAAGCTTTCAGAGGCCCTCTGTGGCAGGTTTCAAGGTTGTTTCCTGTTTTCTTCTGGGACCTGGAAAGGATCATCCTGAGTGAGTTGTCCCAGAAGCAAAAAGACATGCATGGTATATACTCACTCATATAAACATACAATATAAATTAACCCACTAAAATCTGTACATCTAAACAAACTAAGCAAAAGAGAGGACCCTAACTAAAATGTTCAATCCCCATCCTGAAAGGCAAAGAGGATGGACATCAGAAAAAAAAAGAAAATAGGAAACAACCTCGGAACCTGCTACAGAGGGCCTCAGTGTGTGTTTTTATGTCTGCCTTTTAACCCAGAATCTTTTCCTGAAATTTGCTGGGTATCCTGGGGTTGGACCTGACATTTCCCTCATCGTGGGTTTTCCTCCTGACTGGGAATCCCAGTCTCTAGTGCTTTGGGGCCCACAGTTTAGTCTGGGATGGTGATTAGCGCATGCAGGTATGTGGCTCTGAGATGGTGACAGAGCACCTTCCAGGACCCTGGAACGCTTCAAGGGTTTAGCTGGGTGACCCGAGAATGGACCTGATTTCTTCTGACGCTGTGGAGTTTCCTCTCACTTGGAAAATATAATCGCTGGTGTTTTAGGGCCCAGAGTTTGCTTTGTTTTTCGCTGTGCAGTCACTGCTGTCCTGCTTGTCAGATATAGTGTATCTCTGTGCCACCATCTTGGAGCCTCCTGTTTACATGTATTTTAAAGCACAGAAAAGAATTCTTATCTATAATTTTAATCCCAGTTTCCTCAGCAAGATTTACTGTATCTTCTTACGTATTTTATCACCTGAAACATTTCGGTCTGGGCATTATAGTTTTTTCCACACACACCTTACCTTCCTTATTGAATTGTAATCTCCTTGGAGTTAGGAACTAGTCATTTCCAACATGTATAACAGGCATTTATATATAACAGAAAGAATCATGGTAAAACAAAGGTTTATGTACAAGCGTCAGCAAAGAAAACATGACAGTTATTTCAGTTTCACTTAATTCCAGTTTCCTAACTCAGAATGGACAAAGTACTATTTGTTGTATATATTTGTGTTAAGGTTTAAGAGTTTCATGTGAAAAGATCCTCAATTATATTAATCTTTTTTTTATTTCTAGAATTTAAGTAACATGAAGGGAAGCTTAAGTAGCATTGATAAAACTAAATCATGTTGGAATATAGAGAGGGAATGAATTCAAGTATTGTTATGAGAATTCAAAGGAAGAGGCAGATAGGAAAAATATTGTAAGTTAGAATTGTTAGGAATCAGTGAAGAGAATGGCTGGGATTTTGAAACCAGATGTATTATGCCATTTGATAAATAAAAATAGACCAAACCTGTTTGAAGAAATAAGTTAAAGCAGTTAGTCTTTTTTGTTGTTGTTTGGTTTTTCAAGACAGGGTTTCTGTGTGTAGCCTTGGCTGTCCTAGACTCACTATGTAGACCAGGCTGGCCTGGAACTCACAGAGATCCACCAGTTTCTACCTCCCCAAATGCTAAGATTACAAGTGTGCACCAACTGTGCCCAGCAAGACAATAAGTCTTAACAGTACTGTTCTAAAGAAAAAAAAATTATAGTGGAGCAAATGTAGATTTTTTAAGGAAAAGTGAGAGAGAACTGCCAAGACATGGAAAGGCACTCAGATGGGGAATGGCACTTTCTTCTTCAATCAATTTCCCTTATTTTGCCTGGAGATTTCAGTTTCTGGTAACTAAGTAAATAAGGGCTTAGTCTAGGTCTTGAAGCTCCAGGAGCCAGCCTGGGAAGCAGTTATACAAGAGTGATGCTGGAACCTGGGTCTGTGGGACAATGTCCAGCACTAAGGACTAGTAAGAGACCTGAGCACTAGTCTTCTAGAGCATGGGACTACAAGTTTTAGCATGGAGGGTGATGCTGCAGGTATTAGCCTAGAGGATTAAGGTCCTAATTGGTACTGTGACAAGCTAAAGGTTGTGGCTACAAGTACAAGTTTGGAGCTTGTATCCACAATAGCTGGCTTAGAGGTTGGTGGCTATGTGAGGTGGCTTGATGCACCAGTACTTTCAGAAATCAGCCTGATTGTCAGTCTAGCCTGAAACTCAAGGCTGTTGATGTCAGTCTGGTGCTAAGGAGAAGCTAGCCAGACATTAAATTAGCCTGGAAACTAAAGTAGCCCTAGAGTCTGAGATGGCAGGATCCACACATTCTCAGAGCTAGCTTGGAGACCCAATCTGGAGACATCTGCCTGAAGTCTGGACTTTTGGGAGCTTGCTAGGTACTAGGTCCTTAATAAAGTATTCCTACTATTATGGTTGAAATAAAACACGATTTTCATTACTTGCTTCTTTCTTCACACACAAATATATTTTCATTCTGTGCTGTTTTAGGATTTGGGGAGAAATGATACAGGTAAAATAAAAGTTTTCGTATTATGCCGTTCAGCATATTTTATTTCTGAAACACACCCAGGTAGTATAATCTCCAGACTGATTTCCTCAACTCCTGCAATGGTATTTTGTGAGTGAATAATTATTTGAATTAAGGTCCTCCCATTTTCTCATATCTATCCTCACCATATGTAGAAAGCCCTACATGTTTTTGTTCTCTACTCTTCCCTCTTTAGAGAACTAAATAGATTTACATTTAGTTTAGATTCTGTAACTTTCTGTGTGTATATGTGTATGTATTTCATGTTAACATCATTAGAATTGGGTAGATTGTAATTTAATAACTTTAACAAATTTTAACTTATTTATTTAGTGTATCATTCATGTGTGATACAAACTTACTAATTTAAGAAGCCAAATAATAAGGAAAAATTTGATTTTGATTAATAACCTGCAGATAAGCCGAGCAGTGGTAGTGCACACTTTTAATTCTAGCATTCAGGGAGACAGTGAATCTCTGCGAGTTCGAAGCCACCCTCATCTACAAAGCAAGTCCAGGACACCCAAAACTACACAGATAAACCCTGTCTAGAGTAAAAAAGAAAAGAAAAATTAATAACCAATAGATAAATGAATAAACATTGGCAACAGAATATACTGAAGATGTTAAGGACATTAGATATAAGTGCAGACCTAAAGTATAGATATAAAACTACTTGGTAAGTGCTGTTTATTCCAGACACAGGCATGATAGCATAATTTTTTGATTGTAGTATATGAACATTACTTTATATATTTGGAGGGAGACACGTGAAATCTGTGTGTACAAGTAAGTACCCTGGTATTTTTAGAACAACGGGAGAGATTTACCCATCACAGACAATGATGATTTTTAGATAATACTTGTGCCTCATCTAAAGTATATGACAGTCTTACATACCTTAGGATTGTCTTAAATTTCTCAGCATTGTCTTCTATAAAACAAAATATCAAGGCTATTTTTAAATTTAGCCTTTCATTACTGATTCCTTAAATCATTCTATGAAGTGCATTGAGTTACTGGTATTCATTTAACTATTCCTTTATAATATTATTGCCTAGAATTAACCATTTTAATTTGGTAAATATTGTCATATTACACATTGTGTGTATGTGTGTGTGTATACATGCATATAAGCATATGATATTACACATTGAATGACATATTTGAGGAAAAGGCTGTTACTATATGCTCCCAAACATGAAGTTTTGATTAATTCAAATTTTATTGATCTGATATTTTTTTTCTTTATTGATAGATGCCACCTGTGATGGACAAGATAGATCTGCGTATTTTGCAGGTGATTTTTGTCAAGCATGTGGAGTGGCACTGCATCTTGAATCAGAAAAAAATTCACATTATGAGGTTGGTTAAGCACAGTGGGAATAAGGATGAAAAATCACATATTTAAATGTAGCAAGTCAACTTCATATAAGTCTTCTTACTTGATTAGTAAGGCACATGGTGTCATTTCTATTTGACAAATGAGAATATTGGCTCAGGAAAGGATAGTCACATACAAATTTAAGTTTAGGGACTCTAAATTAAACTGAGTGCTTTTGACTGCAAAGTTCCTTTTTTGCCTTCACTGATTCTGCTTCTGTTATTGTAGTAAATATAATATAGGTATTTGCAAGTTTGAGAGATACTGTAGAACTCCTAGAGTCTTCCTTTATAATAAGCATAGACTATAGATTATGCTTATCAGCATCCTGTTATTGATGTGGGAGAGGCTCATAACTGCCCCTATCCCCAGATCCATTGACTGTTAACATTTGCTAGGACGCAGGAGATCATGAAGCCTCACCATTCCCTGTGGATCTATTAGCAACTGATAGTTGCTGGGGAAGGGAGAGATTTTCTGCAGTGATATTGTCCCATCACTCAGGTGCTCACAATCCTGTAAATACCTCTTACCCATCTTCATTAATGAGAACCGTGTGTCACATATAAAAGGACATGGAAGTATAAGGGGTAGTGAGCTGGAAAGAGGGGGAATTAGTGGGCACTAGAGAAGAAGAGATGATAATAGGTAATATAATTAAAATATATAAATGCATGGAAATGTCATAATGAAACTCATTAAATGTATAACTAACATGATAATAAAAAGATTGACTTCTAAGTTGTAGAATCTTTAATTTTAACTGAGTTTGAGAGATTTGAAAGGAGTGACACTCTTTCATAGTTATTGCAAACATGGGTTAAGGATGTAGCTCAACAGTATGTACTTGCCTAGCCTGTTAAAGGGCCTAGTCTCAAAGAAAAGTTAATGCAAAGCCTGCTAAAGCTCATGTCTCCAGCCCTCACATCAGAGAGGTGTACATTTTATGTGTCTCTGTTGTTAAATAAATAAAGCCCTATCTTTTTTTTTTCAGAGTGAAATACATGCTCAAAATGTTAAGTTCTGTTTTCAAGTGCATGTGGAACAAAACGAAGTGCCTGGTCGGAAAGTAAACATGCATGTTAGGAATTCTCAGGTGAGTTGTCTCTGTGGAATGTTATAATTATGAAATGCAAGGCTTTGAATCTTTCAAAAGTAAAAGGTTGTGCTTTTTACAGGTGTACAAAAGTGGAGAAGTCAACAGAAACAAATTCAGTGGTTTTGACTCCTCAGCTGTTGCTCAATCTCACTATGTGGGAAAGAGCCATACACAAAATCAGAAGCAGTTATTATTGGAAGAACAGGAACGAGTATCTCAATCAGGATGTCAACCAAAGATGGGTAAGACACTATTCATATCTTTATCTCAGATGAATACTACACACTGTATCCTTTTTGGGGAGCAAAGTTGTACTACAGTTTAAACAACGCGATTATTCTATTTAGTGAATCTCTTTTTGTGTCCTTGTCTGTAGAGATAATTGCTCACAGAATTTTAAGAAATTCTATGACCACTATTCATTTTAATAAATACAAATGTAAACATGTGATTTCTGTATGATATAAATAATAATAAGTAGGTATTAATAACACTATGTCATTAGGTATTTATGCCTGGAAAATATTCATCAGCATTCAAATCCATCACATCATATACGTATTGTCCAAAGCAAAGTCATTACCTCATCATATTATTAGAATTTATTTTTTCTTAATAAGTTAAACTAAATTAGATTTTATATTTATTCTAGTCTCTCAAATTTTCATGTTATTGAAGAAAAATGTGAACTTAGAAGTTCATACCATGTGATTTACCCTGTGAATTACAAAGAACCATCTTGAAATGGTTCCCATGCTTTTAATGTTACCTCAGATAAGTGTTGTCAAATAATACTAAGTGTAAAATATTCCTTCCATCCCATATCTTAAGAGTACAAACTGGATGACACCTAGTATTCACATTTATCTCACGGAAGTGCATTTGTGACAGTTCCCTTAATCCAGAAGGTCTGTAATGAAAAAAAGTGGAAAAAGAGTAATTTTTACAGAATATCTCTAATATTTAATTTAATATTACACTGTATACAGTTCTAATATCTGAATACATGTTGATAATTTCTCATGATAATTATTTCTACAGATAGACCCAATCCTACTCCAGCAGCACCATCCTTCCTGAAGTCTGTTATTGTGAAGCCTCCTCCAGGTAGGAATAAAGACACAACTCTCTTTTTTTCCAGCAGTGCTTTGGATCTAGATAATCCAAAGAGACTGTATAAACTCTTCACTACTTCTTTAAATAATCTGCTAATGTTCCACAACATTATATTAGGAGCACAAAGAAATGAAGCTAGGAGAACACCTATAGCTGGAAAGCAGAGAAATGTCTTCCAGCAAAATCAAATACAAATGGCAAACGAGAAAAGCATTCTACCATCTTTCATATCAAGTTTGTATTTTATAAAATATATAGATGACTAGTTTATTTATAAACCACTCTCTTTTTATTGATTAAAGAACTGATATTATTCAAGCAAGTGAGTCCATGTATTTTGACTTATTTTTCTAGGACATGAAAGCCAGAAAGTCTTTTATGTCTATTAATTTTAAAATCATTCATGAACATGTGTGTTGTGGTGTTGTTCCGTGTTATTTTAAGGAAATACTTCAAATTAGTATGTGATAGTGACATTCATTTTCCCTGTTAAGCTAGTCATTCTATGGAGTATGAATAGGAATATATTTTCTATTTCTTCTTTACTAAAGAAGAAAATATGTAAGCTAGTTAATAATACCTCACTGCAAAAGACTACATATTTGGTTTTATGCACATATTTTGCTACCAGAGGTAATGAAACATTATAGTCCATAGATTTCTATGGTTTTAATTAATCAAAAAAGAAAGGTTAAAAAGAGACCAGATGGCTTAGCGCTAAAAGAATGATAGCAGAAATTCAGGTACTGAATGGATACTGGCCTTGACTGGAACAACATATCTTCTCTTGCATCGTGCTTTTTCATCCCCACTACAGCCGAGCACCTTCTCACTAATAGTGTATCTTACTGCCCTTTATTCTCTCTTCTTTTCCCCAATTCATTATGTTTTACCTCTTATTACTAAATAGACTCTGCTCCACATGAAAATGTTCATCACTCTTGACTTATTAAAATTCTATTACTTTTATTCACAACTCCTCACAGTCTGTTTCTTTTTTATTTCTGTTTATTTGCTTTCTTTTCATTTTTTTTATTTTTTAATATTAGTTACAGTTTATTAACTTTGTATCCCAGCTGTATCCCGCTCCAACATTCCCTCCCAATCCCACCCTCCCTCCCTTATTTCCTCCCTGCCCCTTTCCAAGTCCACTGATAGGGGAGGACCTCCTCCCCTTTCATCTGACTCTGGTTTATCAGGTATCTTCAGGACTGGCTGCAAAGTCCTCCTCTGTGGCCTAGCAGGGCTGCTCTTCCCTCGGGCGCAGGGGATGGGAGAGGTCAAAGAGCTTGCCATTGAGTTCATGTCAGAAATAGTCCCTGTTCTCCTTACTAGGGTACCCACTTGGATACTGAGCTACCATGGGCTACATCTGAGCAGAGGTTCTAGGTTATATCCATATATGGTCCTTGGTTGGAGAAACTGTCTCATAAAAGACCCCTGTGCCCAGATATATTTGGTCCTTGTGGAGCTCCTGTCCTCTCTAGGTCATATTAACTCCCCCTTTTTTCATACGATTTCCTGCACTCTACGGAAGGTTTGGTTATGATTCTTAGTATCTGCTTTGATATGCTGCTAGATAGAGTCTTTCAGAGGCCCTCTGTGGTAGGCTCCTGTCCTGTCACTTGTTTTCTCCTACATCCAATGTCCATCCCATTTGTCTTTCTGAGTGGGGATTGATCATCTTACCCCGGGTTCTCCTTCTTGTTTATTTTCTTTAGGAGTATAGATTTCAGTATGTTTATCCTATCTTATAGGTCTATATAAGTGAGTATATACCATGTATGTCTTTCTGCTTCTGGGATACCTCACTCAGGATGATCTTTTCTAGATCCTACCATTTGCCTGCATATTTCATGATTTCCTTGTTTTTAATTGCTGAGTACTATTCCATTGTGTAAAAGCAGCACAATTTTTGTATCCATTCCTCAACTGAGGGAAATCTGGGTTGTTTCCAGGTTCTGGCTCTTACGGATAAAGCTGCTACAAATATGGTTGAGCAAATGTCATTGTTGTGTACTTGAGCATCTTTTGGATATATGCCTAGGAGAGGTAGAGCTGGATCTTGAGGAAGCAGTATTCCTAATTGTCTGAGAAAGTGCCAGATTGATTTCCAAAGTGGTTGTACGAGTTTGCATTTCTACCAGCAATGGAGGATTCCCTTTTCTCCACAACTTCTCCAGCATGTGTTGTCACTTGGCACATGAGACAACCTCCTGAACAGAATACCAACAGTACAGGCTCTAAGATCAACAATCAATAAATGGGACCTCATGAAACTGAAAAGCTTCTGTAAAGCAAAAGATACTGTTGTCAGAACAAAACGACAGCCTACAGACTGGGAAAGGATCTTCACCAACCCTATATCTGACAGAAGGCTGATATCCAGAATATATAAAGAATTAAAGAAGTTAAAAAGCAACAAAGCAAGCAATCCAATTTAAAAAATGGGGTACAGATCTAAACAGAGAATTCTCAGTAGAGGAATACAGAATGGCAGAGAAACACTTAAAGAATTGCTCAATGTCCTTAGCCATCAGAGAGGAGAGATGCAAATCAAAACGGCCATGAGATTTCACCTGACACAAATCAGAATGGCTAAGATAAAAAACTCAGGAGTTAATAGCTTTCTAAGTATTTTCCCTTCTACTAGTTTTGTCTCCACAAATCCACTCTCAGTTTCATTCAAAATACAAATTTTTCCATGACACTGTCTTAACTTTTTTCCAACCTCTTCACTCTTTTTCCAACTTCTAAGGATGAAATCTAAATGCCACAGTTCTCTCTTTTTTTCCTCCTTTTCTTCATGCTTGTCCTCTGCAACTGACCTGCTGCTCTCTATGCAGACTAGTACCTGCAAGTTATATGGCTTTCAAAAACTTTACCTTACTTCTTTTATTTGTGTTCTTGCTCATACTTCCTCCTCCTTTGTTGCCTGAAATAGTTCCATAACCTGCTTTTGAGTAAACTCATATTCATTCTTAAATGTAGTGCAGCTACTTGGAAATCTTTTTACTTTTCTTAAGGTTACCTACCTACCCTTCTGTATGTCTTTAACCTGTGTGTCTACTTACCTCTCTACATGCTTTTTCCTCCATTTCAATTTGATGTCTTTAGGGAGGAAATGTTACCTCTCTTTCTAGTGCTAGACATAAAAACCAGCATAGAACTACTACTTCCTCAGTAGAGACTAGTTTAATGTATGAATCAGTCAACTATTAATGAATCTTTATCAAAAGTGTGTTCCCTTTGTTAGTACTATTTCAGTTTCTTACATAGTTTGTTAAAATGCTATAACATTTTGTAGGGACATGCAGTTTTATGTAGGATTTTAAAAGATGTTTATTTAAGTAAGCATGAAAGTAGAAATGGCAGTTGATTTTCAAGTAATCATCTGAAAAAACAGCCAATTGCCACTTTTTGTTTATTTTTTTCTAATGGTGAGCTGAGGATATCTGAAATACATGGCTTCAAAGTAAATTTGAACAGAGTCGTGCTTGGATTGTTGCTGCTATGGGAGAAAACATTTTAGCAATCTTAAATGTTAAGGTTATTTGAAAGAGGGAAGAAGAATATCTTAGTTTTCTTTCTATGATAAAACATCATGACCAAAAACAACTTTGGGAGGCAAGCTTACCACTTATCGTCAATCATGAATGGGATTCAAGAAACCTAAAGGCAAAAACGGAAGCAGATACCATGAAGGAATACTGATTACTGGCGTGCATATATGACTGGCTCAGTCTGCTTTCTTTTTTATGTGATAACATTAAATCCTTTAATTTACTCTTTCCTTCTACATCACCACCACCATCATCATCATATTCATTATTATTTTTTCAATTTTAATTTATTTTTATTTTTATTTTATTATTATTATTATTAATTACACTTTATTCATTTTGTATCCCCCCATAAGCCCCTCCCTCCTCCTCTCCCGATCCTACCCTATCTCCCCTTTCTTCATGCATGCTCCTCTTCTTTTTTATATTAATTAGAGTTTATGCAATTTGTATCCCAGCTGTACCCCCCTCGCTCATTCCTTCGTAATCTCAATCCCTCCCTCATCTACTCCCACACCCCTCTCCAAGTCCAATGATAGGGGAAGTCCTCCACCCCTTCCAACTGCCCCTAGCCTGTCAGGTCTCTTCAGGACTGGCTGCATTATTTTCCTTTGTGGCCTGGTAAGGCTGCTCCCCTATCAGGGGGAGGTAATCAAAGAGCCAGCCACTGAGTTCATGTCAGACAGTCCCTGTTCCCCTCACTATGGAACCCATTTGGAGAATGAGCTGCCATGGCCTACATCTGTGCAGGTGTTCTAGGTTATCTCCATGTATGGTCCTTGGTTGGAATATCAGTCTCAGAAATAACCCTGGGCTCAGATTCCTGGTTCTGGTGCTCTGCTTGTGGAGTTGCTGTCCCCTCCAGGTCTTTCTATCTCCCCATTCTTTCACAAGATTCCCTGAACTGTGCTTTAAGTTTGGCTATGGGTATCAGCATCTGCTTTAATGCCATGCTGAGTAAAGTCTTTGAGAGGCCCTCTGTGGTAAGCTCCTGTCCTGTTCCCTGTTTTCTCCATCTTCAGAGATCTATCCTGTTTGCCTTTTTGAATGAGGATTGAGCATCTTACCCAGGGTCCTCTGACTAGTTTAGCTTCTTTAGGCGTACAGCTTTTAGTATGATTATCTATATTATATGTCTAATATCCACTTGTGAGTGAGTTTATACTTTGTGTGTCTTTTTGCTTCTGGGATGCCTTACTCAGAAGGATCTTTTCTAGTTCCCACTATCTGCCTGGAAATTTCATGATTTCCTTGTTTTTAATTGCTGAGTAGTATTCCGTTGTATAAATGTACCACAATTTATTTATCCATTCCTCAGTTGAGGATCATCTGGGTTTTTCCCAGATTCTGGTTATTACGAGTAAAGCTTCTAAGAACATGGTTGAGCAAATGTCTTTGTTGTATGCTTGAACATATTTTGGAAATATG